TTAGTGTAGCAACTTAACTTGAATCCTTACTAGTGACCAATCTTGGTCCCATAGGTACGATCTAGAAACCAAACAGCAGTCAATGGTATGAAGCGCAATAGCAACAAGCCCACCGTAAAATCTAAGCAAAAAAAAATATCGGAAGCAAAAGTACTGATGTCAGTTTACTTCACCCGATCTAAAATCGTAGCTTTTTAAAAAATTTATTGGAAACCAGGAAGAAATAGGATTTCAGCCGCTACTTTTTACATTATGACAACGCACCATCCCACACTGCTCAAGGACGAGTAATTTTATTGAGATTTCTCGGATTGAAGAAATATGTTCAGCACCGTATTCCCGGATATTTCACTCTGTGACTTCTGCTTAGATCCAAAAATTGAAAAACATTTATAAAGAAAAGTCCTTAAAAGCAACAAGTACATAATTAATGCGGTTATTGCGGTTAATGCTGAACTTGATAAGTTTAAAAAGCAAGATTTTGAAGATTGTTTTCAGAAGTGAATCTATAGGTTAAAAAATGCACTGGAATCAATGGGATTATGTAGATAAGCTAAAAAAGTAGAAAAACTAATAAATACAAACTCAAAGAGAATATGTTTTTCTGATAAACTTTCCGAACTTTGTTAACCACCTTTTATTAATCAGATTCATAGCCTCACAATGCAGTTCGTATGATCTTAGCGTTTTGTAAACAACAGTTGCTTACTTTGGAAATAGATGGAAGATGAGCTTGTTTGTGTAGAAATGAAAACTGGTATTTTTTTCTGGCAGGGATCTTATACATACTCGTACATACACACAAACGTGTGTATGGCCATGAATGATTTTTGTTAAAAGGCACTCAGACGCCCTGACGCGCTGCAGCATTTGACAGTGAAATGGCATTTGTACAACTAACGCAAGGAATATATAAATATATTTCACATTATATCTTGATTTGAAATTAGACATATGTACATATACATCTTTGTGATTATCAGTGAGTCTAGCTTCCAATTTTAGCGTTTACAGTGCCACATAATATTTGTATATAAGTATATACATATATACGCACGTCAGTTGTTGTGCCTTTTCAATTTGGATCATGAAATTTTTGTTGTTGTTTTTTTTTAATATAACCTGATTTTGTTCGTCGTGTTCGCAATATTTATTTTTGAGATTCTATTAAACTTTTATAATAAAGTTAAATTGAATTTTGTTATCCAGTTTAAAATCGCTGCACTACGATTTAACTCAATAAATTGATAGGTGTAGGCAATTGAAAGTGCAGCGGAAAAATCACATTCCTTATTGCATTGGTAAGTTAGCATGCGCAGTGTCAAGAAATCAGCCCAACTTGCTCTGAAACTTTCCCGCTGACTGTGTGACAGTTATTTTTACTTCTCTCATGAAGAAATAATAGACTGAAGTTATATTTTAAAAGTTCCTTATGAAATATTACAATTATGTTGGTCGGTGCGAAAGCTGAACAGGCAAGATCCGAGGATCTCCAAGGTTGGGTTACACACTGAGTATTCACGCCTCGTTTTGTTCATTTGTGATAATCTCTGTGGTTGCTATTTTCCCTTCGTCATTTTCTAATTAAACTTTCAACATTCCTTACTCAACCACTGGAGCGGCCTTTAAGTAATATTGGAAGCCGCTTTATAGTTATTATACTTAACTCTAATAACTCAGACCATCACAACACATTCTAACAGCCAAACTGTCACTATATCTCCTAATTCTAATCACACCACCCCAAATGTGGCAATAAGATAGTGGAAAATCTTAAACAAACTATCACCTGTAAGTGAAACAACAGTGCTTTGGGTCCACGACATAGTGTTATCCCTGGAAATTACGAGGTCGATGTGCGAGCAAGGAAGCTTACAATCCAAACCACGATAAATTTTGCACATGATTCTGGAAACGAGCTGAGGGCTGGAGACTGTGAGTAACTGTGAGTAAAATATACAATACTAAACTCACCATTACTTTCTGTGATTACCTTCTTGGTCAGCCAACTTAACCTTCAGAGATATAGTGTCTTCAATCTTGTTTCATTGAACAAACCCTCCGGTCTTGCGTGTTGTTGTTTCTCTAATTTTTATTATTGATTACCTTTTTGTTGTTGCTTACTCGTATTGGCTTCTTCGCATAACTATTTTTTATTCAATGTATCAGTATACCAGTCATGCTTCGGTACTTTATTTGGTTTTATAATTGTTTGGCCCAAATTATCTCCGATTTTCATCAAATTTTGATCGTGCAAAGGGCTTTCAGTCTGGAAAACATAAGCTCATATTCACCTTTTATGATTGTAAGAATTAATTTTTATTAAGTACTTTTAATTTAGGTCGCCTCTGAGCAGAGAATGCTAACCCCTCTTCGTACATTTCTGATATGAAATATGAAGTCCTAATACAAATACAACGCTGAGGCGATTTTCGGCTGAGCTCCTCCTCCAACTTAGGGTTTTGCGTCTTGATGTTTTCTCAACTAATGAAGGGGCCTACAGTTCACACTAAGCCGCCTTCGAACGGCTGATGTTTTTTTTATGAGGAATTTTATTTGATGTCAGAAGTACAGTCGGAGGGTTTGACGCTTCCTTCCGAAGGACGACCGCAATTAAAAAAGCTAAATTTATTTTTATTTTTTATTTTTTTATTAATTTTCTATAACTTTTGGATGTTGGTCGTACCAGGACTTGAATATCAGCACGCAATACTTGCCATTCGGTTACCGCAGTCGCATATAATCAACAAAAAATTCCTCTGTTGGAAAAAACAAGGATTGGAAAAGCGACCATAAGCCGCCAATTTTATATCATTTTCACTTTAAAGGGAAATTCAATTGGCCTTAGTGTCTAAAGTCTGTGATAACATCCGGTTTACTGGGATATTTGATTTGAACCGAGAGATGGTTTGACTGCAAAGTAACAATGTAAATAAGTTATCAATTTCTTTTTGATAAAAAAATGTTATCGAAAAATGTTTTTCGTCCGATCGCGCCCTATGGACCTTAAGTAAATAATAAGGGCTTCATGGACAAAAATCCATTAAAATTGATCTAATTCAAGTTCCGTAAAACTAATACTTTCTTTTCGTTCGCGGGTTTAGCATTGAATAAGTAACAACTGTATCGAAATAAATATGCATTACTTGAACGACTTAAAAGTTTTAGAGTGTCTCATAGTGGCTGCAAGGAATGATTGTTATTAGTCTCCAAAGAAGAGGAAGAAGAGAATTGTCATTTAAATTTAGATTTAAAAGTGTGTATTTACTAAGCCCGTCTCTACTTATTCAGTTTCATAGTTTTATTGCTAAAATAGGCTAGCATAGGTCTATAAATTACATATAAAAGTATTGGATACGTTAATGATAATTGCCGGTTGTTTTGAAATGTTGTTGTTGGATTGCTAAACTTCGGTGTACAGTTGGTTTTTTGTCCAGATTTCTCTCCACTCCGGAAGTGGAGCTCAATAAACTAAAAAGTGCGGAAGTAGGGCAGGGAGCGAACTATTCGAAAAAATTGGAGTTAAATTTACTTGAAATTCGGTAAGTAGGTCTCTTTTTACTTAGATTAGCAAGAAGACTATTGTTCATCCATGTATATGGACCGTATACTCTCTTATACCAAAAAAAAATAATATATATATATATATATATATATATGATAGGAGTTTTTTGCTTATGTTACATGTCTACTCCGGAAAGTGGACTAGATACCGTAATAACCCGAAAGATTCGAAAAAATAATTTTTATAATTTATTCCGCTTAAAATTCGATTTTCTTGCAGGAAGTGTTTTGATCTAACTGAAAAATGTGCGTATTAATGGTTCGTTTTAGTTGGATGATAAGCATAAATGAAATTTTTTCTTTCCTGAAAATGTATCAGATATTCGGAATCAAGTTAAGTTTGCACGAAATTCAAATAATATTTTCTTTAGGAGACTGCGATCAACTTCATATTCACACAAATTAGTTATGTCTGTTTCGCGGCAATAAACCCGCTTGATAGAGGTGTTTATTTCTCTCACTTAATCTCCACTAAAACTAAACTGAGTATACTCAGACAACAAAAAATATGTGTTTTCTTATATACGAAATATAATCAAATTCAAATGTTGCCTGTGCTAAAACCCAAGAACTATATGTAGGTACGCGCTTCCCTTTCTCTGCCATGCACAGTCAAAGTCAGGTAGTGATTGAAATACAAAACAGGGTTTAGAGTTGGTAAGTAATGTAAGAGAAAATCTTTGAACTTATATGTTATTGTATTACTTTCTTAAAGGGTGCGTGTATTTTTACCTTTTTTATTTCATTTGAGTGCAATTATCTCTGTAGTTATTTAGGGTTACCCACAACCCACTTTATGGTGTACTTTGCATTTAGGTTTACACCTACATCCATATAAAATTCAGATGACACAACAACTGAAGCCAAGTGATGTCTCACAACGCCATACCTAAGTCAATTGTGTGCTTGAACGACAAGCAGTGAACGGCGATTTTTCGAACAAAACCTTTCTTTAGCGTCGCGGCGTATTTCTTACTCGTCGAACACGTAAATAATCAAAATTTTCGCATCAATGGATTGGAGAATCCTCAAGTAATTAAAGAGACGCCAACGTTGAATTGAACCTAACTTCTGTGGAAATAAAAAAGTCGAGAGTTTCACTGTCCACTCGGAATGTTTTTGGCGTGTTCAATTCCTCACCGAAATGGTGTGTTTTGACAGCATTGGAAGTTTTTTTGTGGTTCTGCATGAAACAGCTTATCTATGCAGATAGACCTTTAATTTTGAGCACTTGAAAACCAAAACTCGTTAAGCTAAGGCTAAGATATGCAATAAAATGTGCCAAAAAGTGTTCGAAAATTACATCAAATGGATTGGCATCTTTTTGAGGGATGTGGTGTTTCATGTATATAGTAAGGCATAAGTTTCAATCTTAATAATAAAAATTGAATTTTATGAAAAAAAAAAATAAATAAATTTGGATTATTTGTGTTTATTTTCGAAACCGCAAATAAATAATCTGGTACCTCCTAAGGTGTTAAGTGCATACAACGAAAATACTCTTCGAGTCTTCTGCACAGTTGAATTTCATGCTGCATTCATAAAATTATAGAAGATCAACGACATTACCAGCTCTTGTTTATCTGCCGCCAAGAATGCCATAGCTTGCTGGAAAATTTATTATGTGTTTTCCTTTTTTTTGTTTTTTGGGAAAATTTTAAAAAATAAGAGACGCACGGCTAATAATTGCCACGAAAAGTTTTTGATCTGTAAAAAATCCAAGAAGAAATTATCGAATAAATAAGAATATTTTAATGAATATTATTCATTTATAAAGTAGATTCTAAAAACTAATAATTCTTAATAAATGGGATCTCATAATTTTTATTCGATAAAAAAATATGTTTTCTCATAAATCACAAAATTAGTTTTTAAGTTCTTAAAAAGTGATTAAAGGCAATAAAAAATTTGAACTCCATAACAAAAGCAAATACAAAATCTTATCTTTCATTTCACAAGCTGAAACCAAAGTTCGATAAACCCAAATATGCAAATACCTTGGAATGACGAACTGGTGGCTGAAATATCGACAATTTCAAGCGTCAAAATAAGCTAACTCTTACGAAAATTGATATATTTTATATATATAAATATAAAGTTATGATTTTTACTTGTTATTTATGAATATCTGAGTGAAATATGAGCGGAATAGATTCGTTTGATTTCTGCAACACAAAAGCACTCCTTTTACATAAAAAAAATTTACACGTATACACACCCACATATATCAACACACACGTACCCAATGGTTGTGCTGTAGTTCTTCGTCTACATATGTACATTTATACAATATAATTCTACATTCCTAGAAATATACATTTAATTTAATAAACACGCGCATAAATTCAAATTTCACTGAAATTTTAAAACTATACATGCATTTGCCTATTCATTTAAGCACATACACACTCACGTATGCACATGCATTGATGTATATTTATGTATGTGTATATATGTAAATATTCATATAAATTGCATACTTTTTGTCGTGTACGGTACTAAATTTTATTGCTATTTTTGGAATTTTTATGAGCATAATGGAAATCTGTTCAATATGCAAGTGCAACTATAGTGCATCGGGTCGCCCCTTCGGTCCGTAGCGTTTTGCATTGCACATAAATCTGTCAAGTGAGACTTAAATATACTGCTGACTACCGCACTCTATGGCCCCGCCACTAACCGCTTGACCCTACTCCATTGCCGTTTTATTGGTATAACTCATGATTTCAAGCAGGCATTATATATATATATATATATATATATGCCTCAATATATAGATATGCACTTACATAAATACATAAATACATTTGTATAAAAACTCAAAAGAGTTTTATGTGCGCCCGTGTATGCAATAATATATATTTCACGTATGAAATTTATAAATTTCAAAAAAGAATATAAACTCATATGCATTGTAAAGGGTGTCTTTCTTAAGACAAATGGTTTTCAAGAAGAAAAAAACGTACATACGTGTAATGCCAGGATTTTTGTTTTATTATAAATATTAAGGCTTGCCATTATGCTTTAAAAATTAAAAAAAAAAATCGGACAAGTTACTGTCTTAGCCGACTCGAATAAGTTCCAGGCGAGGCGCCAAAATATAGACCAAGCCTTAAGTCAACCACAATGCGCCGAATAATCTCTTCCATAACGTCAATCGTATCGGGCTTGTAGCACCGACTTGTTGGAACCATAGATCGTCCACATCAGCATTTTGAAATTCAGACTAGAAAAAAGGCATTAAAATCATAACTGTCAGTCGCAACTGTAACGCTATTAACGGCTTCATTTTTTAACGAGTACACCAGACAGTGCCATTTGGATTATCTATAGCCGTCTCTACAATGGCTTGCGGATTATCATTATACCAAATGCGATAATTTTGTTTAGTTACATACCCATTCAACCAAAAGTGAGGTTTATCGCATGAAATTGGCAAACCCCGTTAAGCATAAATCCGGCAACATCTGTCAAAAAGGTTGATTTCAAAAATGGTACTACCTCAATACCTGGAAAAAACACCCTTTAGTATGCACATGTATGTGTTTTTGTTTAAGTTGAAAAACGTTTTTAAAAAGGGTGTGGCATCTAGCGTGAGTGGTAAAAAATATGTCCACGCATTAATCCAGTTACCGGGGTGAATGTCATAAATTGTGATTTTTGGCAGCAACACGAAGCTTATCTTTATTGCACGTCATCGTTTCGAATTTTTGCTGATGATGAATTTTTAAGAGCCACACAGCCACATACATACATGCATATGCACATATATTGTGTATGGCAATAAAGGCAAATACACTGTATACACATGCAAATTTGTATTAGTATTTGCCTTTGTAGAATACTTACACACACATATATATATATATATATGTATGTATGTATGCATATGCGCAAAAATAATACTTACATCAATTGAGCCGAAACAAAAATCTTAAAACTTAGAAGAATATGTATTTAATTGCATGCAATCAGTTTATCAATATTTTCTTTTCGTTAAAAATAATGCTAAGAATATAATATTTCCTACGTACATTTCTTGATTTTTTTTTTAAAAATGGTGTTAAAATGGATTTCTATACTCTAAATTTCTATGCCATGAAATTTCTGTTTTGTATGGAGTGAGAAACACGCGTTTAAGGAATAATATTCACTTGTAATTTTCAAAAATATTTTTCTTTTTAATTTTTTGAATGCATATATACTCGTGTTTGAGAATATTTTTCGAAAATCTGCAGTTGATCCGACAAACAGTCTCGTATGTATCATCGTATTGTTACGATTTTGCTGAATCAACCTCGATGATTTTCTGAATCCTTTTGGTATGATTTGTGGATTGTTAAATAAAACTCGCCAACTTAATTTGCAGTTTGTTTCGTTACAATGAATTAATCTAATGTCCTTTATGTACTCAGTAATTCACAATTCAACTACAATGCACTTTACTAACTACAATCACTAGCATCAACTATCACAGTTTACTTTACTTAAATGTAAACTCCAACACGTTTACTTTACGACTCAAATAGTTTATTCCGCTATACTTTATGTTGTCGCAAACGAGTTCACTTTGTAACTGACTTCTTGGCAGCTGAGTGCCGCCCTTATATAGCAGTCGGTTGCTCGTAGACGAAAGTGTAGAATAATCGAATTGTTCGCTATCGAAGGTTCTCGTTTTATCGTTCTTGAATGTACCAGTTATCGGTTTCTCTCTTTCATCTGACATTCGCCTCGCATTTTCGCAACAGTATCATTAACGACGTCTCGTGGCGTTCGTAGTTCCTGTAAATGGTTCGCAAAACTTTAAAAGCATTCTTCTCGAAACGCTGTTTTCAGAGTAGGTGAGAAAAATTTCTCTGATACGGCTGCACCGATCTGTTCCAAATGTTCACACTACTTTCCAGGACGTAGTTTTTAGGTAATAAAAGAACAATTAAATTTATTGGCAATAATTTTTTTAAACCACTTTAAAGTGTAGAATTTCTTACAAAATAATTTTTTTTAATCTCCCATTTTGTCAAAAATTAAAAATTTTCCCTATTCCTTCGATCTCCAACTGTATTCATCCATTTTAATACCTTTTTTTTGGTTTTCAGGTTTCAGATAATTTGAAGCAGAAATATCTTCCTCACCGCAAGACACCTTTTTTTGGACGCCCTTCTGGAGATCGGCTACAGTCAATATTTTTTTAACTCAATCATTTACGGCTAAACTACATTAAGTTCTCTCTATTAACATTATTTCTATTAGTTTAATTAACAAAGAAATATAGTTATTTTACTTTGCAAGTGGATATAATTACGGGTTTATGGCGACTCATTTACAGTTCAAAAATTATATCTTATAGAAATATCTCTGAATATTCACTGTTTCTGGACCGTGCCAAAATTTTAAGCACAATTGTTTTTCCACTAGAGGGAACTTTACTCTCTAGATGGCGCTGCGGTCAAGATATTCTAATTTATGTATATATTATTATATTATAAATGAAAAATAATAATACAATTATTTGTTTAAGAGAAAGTAGAGCTTAATTCTCTAACGAAAATATTTTTCTTACATTTTTAATGTATTAAACATTTAAATGTAGAAAAATATAAAGAATTGTTACTGTCAGTACAAAACAAATCACTTAAATTAAAAATTATATTACTTTTCTAAGGCCAGTTTTGGACAAAAAACATTGAGGATGTTTTCGTATGAAGATTTCTTTAGCATTTCCGAAACGGGCTGATCAACAACAAACAAATTCTTTTCTAATTGCACTAAAGTTGTACATTCATCTACACGTAGAACGTGTTTAACTGTAAGCGATGAGAAAGTGCGGTATACACAGTGTGGTACACTTGAACAATTTAACAGGTGCGAGTGCGTGGCAATGGTGGGCCCAAGAAGCAAAGTGAAGGCGTTCGTTTGTCCGACTGGTAGGCTGAATGTGGAGTTTTATTCCAGTTACATTAAACTTCGAATCTTGTGTTTTTACTGTTTTCCAATATTCAATTTACTGTTCTTTGTGGTAGCTTTTGATTAGTAGGAGAATGTCCTCTTTCATCATGTAATTAATTGTATATAACGATATGTTTGCAAACGGGCTAATTCGTTGTCATTAGTGCCAGCGTGACCAGGAATCCATATTTTTTTATTTCCTTGCGGTTTTCTATTAACTCATCACGTAGTTCAGATATAAGGGGCGACTTGTTGGCGATATTCATAATGCCAGAGATCGCTGACGTACAGTCTTGTTGTTAGATTCTGATACTACACTGAACAGTGATTTAACAGATGCCTTGCGATTACTGCTTTCCCATCAGTTTGAACCACCTCGAATGAGTAAATTTTTGCCAAGGTGGAGAACTGGTAGCAGACAGTAAAGAGACGAGGCTGTTCTTAGATTTTTAGCATATTCAAGCCTTCTGTATAACATTGGCTTTCGATTTGGTACTTTGTAAGGGTCAATGTGTGATGGGGTCGTGGAAAATACTATTTCTACATAGGAAGGATTTTGGCATGAGCTTCGTGGGGGTGTATTCTATTCTCTCCTGTGGCTAGGCGCTGAATCGGGGGTGTTTTTATGTTACTCTTTGCACAGCTGCAAATATTAAAGTATTTGGATGGCTGATTAGTCTTATTTTTAGAGTTTAACTTAATCAACCGGTGGCGTGGCACAAAAAATTGTATACTGGCTGAGGCGTAGATAAAGGGAATGA